AACTGCTTAGTGACACCAGAGATGGAAATACTGATAGGTCTTATTGCTGGTTTAGGATTATCACCTACTGCTGGTATATTTGCAAGATTTTCGTCAGTGAAAACAGAAGAAAACTGCTTATTAAGGATTTCAGACTTAGTTTGTCCATCACTAATTAATTTTCCATCTATTTCCAAATCTGCTACTCCCAGGTTATCCTGCTTTAGTTGCTTAACATAAGACCAAAAACGCTTTGGGTTTTCTTCAATCGCGTCGCCAAGGTACTCTGACACATAGATATCTCTGGCAGTTTTCAAGTTCAGGTGTAACCTTTTCCTAGCAGCACGAAACTGATGCCAATGTGTTGGATTTCCAGACTTCTTGGCTTTGTTGTATAATCTTTGTTTTGCTCTTCCTTCGCGTCTCAATGTGCGATTAAACCAAGGTAGGTTATGCCGGGAGGTAGTCATCTTATGTGGGATATGGGTATCCATAATGCGACGTACACTATATTCAAACTTATCCCATTTCCTGTCAACAATTTCGTGTTTGGTATTTTGTATGAGATCATTAGAAAGTTTTTCAGCTCTTCTTTTATACGGATACAATTAGCTCGTTTTCTACAATAGATCTTACGTTTCACATTCCGTTTCTTTTTGCAAGACGGTCGCACCCTGAAAAGCACCATGTCGTGATCACTTATTCCAGGTATAATTGTTACATTGCGCACAAGGTTTTTGTTGTTAGACAATACAAGGTCTAAAATATTTTGTATTTCCCCTTGTCGTCTTGTGGGTTCTTGGACTAGTTGGGTTAAATCATGTTCGTCTATTATTTCGAGTAATCTTTCGGATGTCTTGCATGTACTGGAAGTTTCGGGATTTTGCCAATCAATGTCAGGTGCATTAAAATCCCCCGCAAGTAACACGTTGCTCTTGTTGATATTGTCACGCATCTTTAATAAAGATACGTTTAATTCGACAAGGCCATCCATATCGGAGACATTGGGTCGGTAATAAGACCCAAAAAGGATAGATTTCGATTTACGGCCAGCCAATTGACACTGCGTGGTAGGGGTAGGATCTCTGAAATGCCATTACCTGGAATTTTGGAAAGATTTCACAATTCTGATGGAAAAGTGATAATTCTGTAGAATTTTATGGGGGAGAATAATTATATATTCATCCGCACTTTTCCAAAAGTGATTCATTTATCTTGCACCCCACCCCTCCAGGATTGACGCCTTTGTATTGGTACGGGGCAGGATGGCTGCATTTTCATTCAATCTACGAACGGCGTCTTCACTACAGTTTTTATGTACGCCCTACATGGAGACCCCGCTCGGTACGCTACATTTAACAAGAATCATTTTCTATTTTACTTATTCGCGGCGAATTTTCTTCCTTCGCGCGAGCAAACTCGCCTAATGGAATCGGGCATAACTTAGTGTTTCTGTCCTATAATTTATTTTTACTATTATTTAAAGGTATTTATACACGCTAGCTTTTCACCTTTGTAATTTTCAAAGGGCCGTGTATCACTAAAAATATTACAGAAATAACATAGTCTAACTATTTATAAGTTATAACACGTCAATTGCAAAATTTAAGAATAGAAGTATGTTCATCTCAGTAATTTTTACAAAATTTATTAATACTATAATTAATGATGTTACCATTACGAAACTCTCTACTTCTTAGACCATAACACGCACACCAGAGTCATAGATTTTTCAAGCGGGCAAAACGGCTAGCAATAATTATATTTTCATTTTGTGAAAGCCTTTGGAGCATCATCGAATAAATCCGACTTAGGGGCTGTTTATATGGAGACCGGCCTGGCTCGCTTACCGAGCCAGCTCGCTTAGCGAGATCTCACAGTGTATTATTATTCTTATTCTTATTCTTCTTCTTCTTCTTATTATTATTATTAATATTAATATTGTTATTGTTATTGTTATTGTTATTGTTACTGTTACTGTTACTGTTACTGTTACTGTTACTTTTACTGTTACTGTTACTGTTATTGTTACTGTTCAACTGTTACTGTAACTGTTGCTGTGATGTTCGTTTTGGCAGGCGTGATGTTCATTCTCGTCGACTATAGCGTTTTCTTCGATACGAAGAGCAGAATACCTGTTACGTAATTGAATGTTTGTATTCGGTATTTCATTTCTCTGCTTTGTGAAATCTACCACCTCGCGTGGACAGCTTTATTCAATATCGTCATTAGGATAATTCGCTGAGTTGTATTTATTAGGTTTTGTGGTTTTCTCCCCAGCATGTGCTGTCTGAGTAATCCGTGTGCGGTCGCCTAGCTTGTATTAGTTTCAAGGTTGTCAACAAACTTGCTTTTTCACTTTCAAGGTTCTTATTAGCCAATCTCAAGTCCGATATGGTATGAGACATATAGTCATATTTAATTCCCTAAGATCATCGTTCTTCTTGTTCAACTCATGCTTCTCTTGTTTTAAGTCATTAATTAACCGTATTTTCGGATACTAAGATAGAATACGGTTTGTCCACTTTAATGTTGATGTTTACTTCAAAGGGAATATCTTCTAACGTATTGGTTACGCTTTGAGCGAACCTCTCAAATTTAGCTTTCAATACACTAATTTCAGAGTCCCATTTATATTTATTGTATGCATGTGTCTCTCGGGGGATTAATTGATTGATTTTATAGTAAAAATATTAAATTAATTGATTTTATAGTAAAATTTACATTGCGTTTAAGTGAATAAAAACGGGCTGGCCCGCTTCCCGAGATCTCGCTTGAGAAAGGCGAGATATCGCATACCGGGATGAAAATTTCTCCATATAAATCGGCTCGCTTACCGGACTTGCTAGCTTAGCGAGATCTCACCATGTAATTCATTTTATAGTAAAAAGTACCGTGCGTTTATATGCACAAACTGGCCAACCCACTTGCCGGGATGAAAGTTCAAAGATGCCGCTGCAAACTAGTTTTAACAACTGTCAAAACAACGACATTGTCCCGGCAAGCGGGATGAAATTTTTTCATATAAACAGAAGAGAAATTCATCCCGCTTACCGGGCTGTCTTGCTAAGCGGCCTAGCCCGGCTTCCATATAAACCACAGAATAAAGATCAGTAACAGAAGGGCCACTCAGCGGTGCAATGTGTCCCCGTTTTTTTATGCAAAAATATGCAGTTTACTGGCCAGAAGTTGGAGCAGCCAGCCAGTACAGCGTGATTATTGGCCAGAAAATGTCATTGACTGGCTAGGAAAATGGCGGCCAAAATGCGTAATGCGACATGCGCGAGGACAAAAACTTCAAAGGTTCCCACACTAGTGGCGTCTCTATTCAATCCTTACTCTATGATATAAACAGCCGTAAAGAACGACGAAAATGATTCCTTATGTTATGTTATGAAACATTTTAGTGAGACAAATGCACTACTATATCGAAATCGGCTGCGAAATGAGACGAACCTTTTGTTGAAATTTCCGAATTATGAACCGATTAATGTGTAAAAGATGACAGGACACAGGGCAGTGCCTGAAGGAGTTAGTACAAAGTTAAACAATTAGTTTTAGAACTACGTAAATCAACCTTATTAAAACTAAACATACAAAAAAGAGAACTAACAAGAAAAGTGTCAAATATGTTGAAATATATTGGGTATTGCACTTCCTTCGTCTTATTTGAACATAAATTAAATGTTGATGGTGGTTTAGGAGAACGAAGGCAGAAACATACGATTGATTATTGAGACCAAACCGGGAACGTTGCGAAAAATGCAACTTTGGTCCTCCGCAAGGAATCGAACCTACGCCTCTGCGATTCTGGAACAGTGCTCTCACCACTAAGCTACGGAGAACGTTGCTCTTGGGAGAAGGCGTAAATTCACGTATGTTGTAATGTTCGGGTAGTGCGGGTTTTTTTAGGGTATCACTAATGGATCGTATGTTTCGGCCTTCGTTCACCTTAACCACAATCAACATTTAAGAGGCATTGTCTGCAAGAACGGTCCAGCGAATTCTGACTCAATTTTCGTTTGGCTTCATAATATATCTATAACTTCCTTGATGTATCCTAATTCTTGTTCAAACAGTCATTTCTTGAATATTGTCTTATTTTTTGTTTATCCTCAAATATATTAGACATGTTCAGGAATCCAAAATGGCGCTCATGATTAGGACGGATATTTGCAATATTTCTAACTTTGCACCGAAGTCGTGCGAGGATCTACAGAACATGTATCCATGTTTTTTTTTTTAATAATGTATGTTCTTTTCACGAAAGTAATAATAAGCCAAATATCTATTTGGAACGGGCGATTTTAGTGGCAGTAATATTTGCCCCATTGGAGTCCGTCATTCATGATCGAAAACCTAATGGATTCCACAAGGCGTAGTAAAAAAGTGGATTGCTTCTGAAATTTAAATCCATTAAAATATGTAGATGAATAACTAAGTTATTCATATCAAATGAGAAAAGTTTTGGTCAAACTCATTTCCCGCGACAAAGGATCGAAGGAGTCTTTATGAGGCAAATCCTCCCCTATGCATGGGCAGGCTAACATTTATGAGATGGTGTCCTAGCCACTATTTCTTGTTAATGCTCGTCTTAGGTTTATTGGGGAACAATGCTAGTCCATTTAGTTAAAATTTCACTCTGTATGACAGAATATTGTAAACTGGAGGAGTCTTTATGAGGCAAATCCTCCCCTATGCATGGGCAGGCTAACATTTATGAGATGGTGTCCTAGCCACTATTTCTTGTTAATGCTCGTCTTAGGTTTATTGGGGAACAATGCTAGTCCATTTAGTTAAAATTTCACTCTGTATGACAGAATATTGTAAACTGGAGATGGATATTTTCCATACAAACGCGATTAGATAAACATGATATCATATATCATGTCGATGAGACAACAACCTTCGAGAGGCAGCACGCAAGAATTTGCTAAATCTGCCCAAAATACGCCTATAAAAGTAAGAAATTCAGAAGATAAGACACCTAAGACATCTAAGAAAGCAATGACATTTGAAAACCCCGAAGTATTAAGAAAAATCGACGAGTTATACACCATGATGAAATCTAAATCTGTCATGGCGAAATTGGAGACGCTCGACTTGATCAACAAGCGCATTTTATCTGTCGAGCAAAACGTGAAGAGCCTGACTAAGTCCATGGAGTTTGCTCACGCAGAAATCGCTGATCTCAAGGAGGAGATGAAGCAGAGAAGAAAAACGAAAGAAAAAACGTGACGAGGATTGGGGAACTGGAAGAGTCAAACAAGAGGCTTCAAGAAACCGTGGTCGACCTTAAAGCAAGATCAATGCGGGACAACCTACTGTTCCACAATATCGAGGAATCCGACGAAGAAAATTGCGCTGAGGTAATCTATAGCTTGCTAGAGGAGAAGTTGGATATGCCAGACGCGCGTCAAAATATTAAAATCGACCGTGCACATAGAGTTGGCAGGAAACGCGATAGTCGCAGGAAGCCGAGAGCTATCGTCGCCAAATTTTATTTTTCCCCGGATCGAGAGAAAATCCGCCGAAACGCCAGGAAACTGAAGGGAACAAGGATTGGGATCTTCGAACAGTTTCCAGAAGAAATAGAGAAAGTGCGGCAGAAATTATACCCCGAGATGCGAAGAGTGAAAGCGGAAAAACAAAGAGTACGTTTAGCGCGTGACAAACTTTTTATCAATAATGTGGAATTTATTCCCAATAACAGTTAAAAGGTATTGCGTTAAAAATATTAGCATTTTATATCTATTCTAGTTTAATATGGCTTCTATAAATATAGAGATAAAATTATGCTCAACATGTCTTCGTGAAATAGTCGTTGATAAAAGCGGAATTGTTTGTGTAACGTGTGGGAGGTGGTTCCATCCCAGGAACGCTTGCATTCAATCACCTGGCACATGTCAACAGACGGAAATTGAAACATGTCACTTGTGCATAACTGATGCTTTGCCTTTTAGCTCAATAAGTGAGCTTGATTTTAATTTTACTTTTGGAGATTTTTCCCGACTTCCCAGCGAGAGGGATATGGATAGATTAATGCAACTTAAATTCAACCCTTTTGACATGCAACGCACAACTACCGGAAATAGAGCCGGAAATAATGATTGCGACAATAATATGCTTAGTAACATTCATAACATCTCATGCAAATACTATCTTCCAAAAAATGTCTCGCGAGACATATCAAATAACAATCTCTTTTCTATTTTGAATCTAAACATAAGAAGTATAGTAAATAAAATCGACTCTTTTAAGATTCTGTTGGAATCACTAAAACGCTCATTTTCAATAATTAGTTTAACAGAAACTTGGCTTGATAATGAAAACTGTACAGATTTTAATCTTGATAATTTTAGCTTTGTTTGCACGAACAGAGACAATAAAAAAGGCGGAGGAGTTGGAATGTATTTTTCAGATAATTTAAATGTCAAACTTCGTCCTGACCTTAATATTAATGAAGGAGTAATTGAGTCACTCTACATTGAAATAGTCACAACGGTTGGCAAGAATATAATTGTTGGCACGATCTATAGACCGCCGAACGGAAAATTTGGGATATTTGAAACTAGTATAAGTAAAGTTCCTACAAAAATAGACAAGTCAAAAACATAACTTACTTAATGGGGGATTTTAACATAGACCTTTTAAAAACTGAATGTTGTGACATTTCGGACAGATTCAGTGAGCAACTTTTTACGTCATCATTTTTCCCTCTTATAACTAGGCCTACGAGGATAACGGAACACACCGCAACATTAATTGACAATATTTTCACCAATGACATTGAACAATTTGAAAGCAGTAAGAATGGATTGATTTTTACTGATATTTCAGATCATCTTCCTATTTTTCATATTACAACTTTAGCAAGGAAAATATATAATTCTGAAGGGAAAACTTCGCATTATCGAAGAATAATGAACAATAGCAATCTTTTATCATTTTCAAATACCATGAAACTGATGTTATGGGATAACATTATTGAAAACAATGACCCTTGCAAAGCATACAACATATTTCATAATAACCTAATACAAGCGCTTGAAAAGAGCTTTCCTTTGGTAAACAGACAAAAACGAACTGTTGACTATGACAAAAGTCCCTGGATGGTATTTCTAAATCCAAGGTATTTCTAAATCTATAGAAATTAAAAACAAACTTTATAAAAGGTATCTCAAAAACCCAAGTGTTATGAGCGAAACCACGTATAAAAAAATACAAAAATAAATTAAAACACTTAATTAAAGTAACTAAAAAAGATTATTTTGAGAGTCAGTTTATTAAATATAAAAACAATGGCAAAATGACATGGCAGACCATTAATCGAATATTAAATCGAAACAATAAAAAGGAGGAAGGGCTTCCTGATACGTTTAGAGAAAATAACTCATGTGTTAATTATTCTGACCCAATTGAGATTGCAAACAAATTCAACGAATATTTTGTAAACGTTGGACCGAATTTAGCCAAAGGTCTTCAACAAAATGACACAATATCATTTGAAAATTATCTCAAAGGTAACTATCGAGAAAGTATGTTTACTGAACCTGTTACAGAATATGAAATCTTGACTAAGATTGATAACTTAAATGAAACTAAAAGTGCAGGTCATGATAATATCAGTGCCAAAATGGTAAAAGCAATAAAACAAGAGATTGTAAACCTCTTGCACATATTTTCAATTTAACTTTTGAAACTGGATTAATACCGAATACATGCCGTAAAAATAGCTCTTGTTACTCCTATTTTTAAAGCAAGCGAAAAATGTTTATTTGAAAATTATAGGTCAATTTTAGTTCTCACGTGTTTTTCGAAATTGCTTGAAAAAGTAATGTACAAAAGACTGATTTCATATATCGAAAAACAAAACATTTTATCTAAAGACCAGTATGGTTTCAGGGAAAATCGCTCCACTGAACATGCTATTATTGAATTGACTGACAAAATCTCAAAGGCCATAGATGAAGGAAAATACACAATCGGTATTTTCCTTGATCTATCTAAGGCTTTGGGCACAGTTAACCATAAAATTCTTCTAAAAAAACTAGAACATTATGGTATAAGAGGAAATTGTTTAAAATGGTTTGAAAACTACTTACATGAAAGAACGCAAATTCTTAAAGACGGGTTACAGTCCGTGCTGCGCATGTGCGATTCTTTTTGTTTTGGTAGACTACTTATCTCTCGTTTCCATGGTTTCCAGTTCGATTGCGTAATATACGCGCGATTCTATATTTGTTGATACAAGGAGTGGGAATACACAGTTTCGAAGAGATTTCCAACGATTTGTGACTTTTATGAAGTGAAATCCGATTAATAACAAATCATTGAAACAACAGGAGAAGAAAGAAAGAATATTACGCCAACAAGGATGCCTTTAAAGTGTGTTTATTTGAAATTCAGTCAAGCGCTTCGCCATGTCGAAGTTTAATATACTGTCATATAAAAGGTAAATATTTGTTTTACATTTGATTGTTTCGTTCTCCAGAGTCGAGACTGGATCTTTAATTCACGGTGAATTTGTGACCATTTTTAAGCTAGGGCAATTTTATTCATTTACTGTCTGAGAAAAGATGGGATCTCTGAGTTTATAATTCAACTTGTTCGAGACATGTATTGATGTATATTTGTAGTACTTCACCTCGGCTCAGTACTATAGCTTAATTCAGTCAAGGATAAAACTGATTTCATCTTTATATGGCGAGCTGTTATCAAAATGCTACTGGGATTGAGTTATTGGATGATTATTGTTTTGTAATTCATAAATCAGGCATCTCCAGATGAACTTTCTGGTAGCAGAATATATTGATTTTTTTTACACGACATGATTGAACATACTGAATAAAATTTCTATTATGCTGTACTATAGGTTACCTTGAGCTCATGGAAACATTACAGATTGTACAACACTAACATCGAATAAACATGGTGATGAGTGTGGAGATGTGGTTATAACAACCATATAGTGGTTAACCAATCAGAAACAAATTTAAAGAGAGGAATAAATATAGAAGAAACAATACAGATTGGATGCTGATGAAACAAAGATGGAAGAATGTATTGCCTTATAATAACAATTCACATTACATAAGAGCACAAGTATTGTTTATGAGTTGGAATAATTTGATTGAGTTGAGAATAGTTTGATTGACTTGGGAATGTTATCCAGTGCTGGTTGAGAGTCAGAAAATTATCTCCTTAATAACCACCTATAAAATGTTTTCTAGTTCTATTTCCTATAGCTGCTTTATATATTTCAATATCTTTTTGTATGGATATATGATAACTGATTTCAAGCACCATGTTTCATGACATGTGAACAAAAATGTAGTATAGCAGTTTTAACATTCTGGCTAAAATAGTTATCTGGCCAACATTGAGATATAAATACTGATAGTTTTGGTGGAGATAACATTACCATCATGTAACATAGTCAGGGGAAAATTCTCTAATCCTTACATCTGCTTTGTTTTGGGAGTTTCATTAGATGTTTAACAATGAATGATATTACATGTATTGCATTTTATTATATTATATTGTAGTAAAGTATGAACATCTGATCATTAGTGTGATATAAAGCAATATGCTATATATTGAATTTTTTACAACAACTAGGTATAACAGTAATATAACACTTTTGTCTGGGTGGCTAGTTGATGCCGTGCAACCGATACTGCCAAGATGTGGTTCACACCAGCAACTTTCTACAAGATTTGTATTGTAACTATTGTTCACACTAGCAACTTTCTTCAGGACTGTGATCATGATGTTTTTCAAATAAATGTCACAACAGAAAATACAGTTACTATTGTATTTTCATCAATGTTCCTACATGTATCATGAGAAGAAATTTGCCAAGAAAATTGCTAGTGTGAGTAAGGGTTCATGGCAATGTTTAGAACATCTGACTAAAAACAATTTCTTGGAACAACAGTATTCTACATATACAAAGTTATCTTGATCTAACAGAGCACATATTTTCTTCCTGTCGGCATGGGGAACACAATGTCTACAGTTGCAGCAGTCCAGATTTTGGTGGGTGTAGCCATGAATATGGTGGTGGTGATCTGCAAATTGTCCTCAATTTTTCCATGAATGAGAACCTACAGTATCAATGTTTCCAAAAAAAAAGATTTACATGGGGTATATACCCTTTATAAAGATTACACTATATGCATTTTTTGAAGGTTCACAAACAATCATGCCATGTCATTCAACATAGTACATTTTTGTCCAGTGCAGTAGTGATATTAATTTTAATATGCAATCACACAAAAGTGCTATAAAATATATAACAATGATTGAATGTATGGTCAGCAGGACTGGGTCCCATGTGAAAACCAACATACAGTACAATCATGTCCGATGTAAAAAAATATATGCTGCTACCAAAAAGTTCATCTGGAGATGCCTGATTATGAATTACAAAACAATAATCATCCAATAACTCAATCCCAGTAGCATTTTGATAACAGCTCACCATATAAAGATGAAATCAGTTTTATCCTTGACTGAATCTAGTACTGAGCCTGAGGTGATTAAATTAGATTTCAAGTACTATATTTTAGTCTATACATGTCTTGAACAAGTTGAACTATAAAACTCAGAGATCCCATATTTTCTCAGACAGTAAATGAATGTAATTGCC